CCAAAAGGAAAGGTGAAAAAGCACAGGAAAGACTTTTGAGATTATTTCTTGAGTTCGGGGGGTAGATTATGAAAAGGGAAGGTATTAGCATCCTTTTCATCCGTGGTTTTCCATGGGCTCTTAGTTACTTGCTAAATCGCTTGCTTTTGTTTGAAATTGTGCTTTGTGTGGTTTTTGAAAGTATTTTAAAAAGAGGCCATTGTTTAGGCAAACTTTGTAATGATTCTCGTTCATAAGAATGTATACAAAGATGTTGATCTTTTGAAAATGTTTTCAAGTTTTGTAAGATGTTTTGGAAGTGTAAGTGTTTTTTTTAAAATAGGAAGGATGTTTTGTTTTGAAATTGAGCAAGTAATTAGGAGCATTCTACCTTACTCAAAATCCTTTCATGTTCATTTCCTTTTTCCTTTGACATTGTTATCTTACCATTGATTTGGTAAGTAACCCTATCTTTGGATGTAAACGGAACGGGCGTGGGTCATCGTATAACCATAATTAGCAATATTGCAAGGTATCTTAGCATTATCTTTTAGGGACTAAGATCATTTGAAAGGCAACATAGATAGCATCATCGAGGGACTATGATCTTGTATTTTGCTTGTTTTTGCTAAGATATCTCACATGCGTAATATGGCCATTTTGTAAGGCAACCAAGCGGATTTTACCCTAGGGGTGCTTGTGTGCAAGTGTATTATTTTCATGCTTGATTTTGTCTTTGATTAGGGTTTTCTAATTGATTGGTTTTAGTCTTTCCATTCAAACCCTAATTACTAGCATTTGTATATAAAGCGATAAATTGCGGAATTTAAAATTACTACGCTATTACAATACTTGTGGGAGGGGGGTGTACAAATTGTAAATGGGGATTGCAAGAAAATAAACCTAATTAATCGATTACAACCATATTGAATTGGTATAAATGTACAAGAAATTAAATGAATATAATGTACAAAATGAATAAATGTACAAGAATATAAATGTAAAGCAAATGGATGTTTGTTTGGATTTTTTTTAGAGAAAAGGAATTTTGATTTTAAAATTAAATAACTAAAAGAAAATAATTAATTAAAATGGTAAAAGATAAAACCCTAATTTAATAAAAAAAACAATTAAACAAAACCCTAATCTAATAATTGATTAAAAAGGAAATTAAGTTTATAAGAAGAATATTTTTGATATTTTTGTCTTAAAAATAAATTTATAGTATTATGAAATATTTTTGGTCTTTTTATATTTTAAAATAATGTATTTGAATTGGTGTAAAAGAAAATAAATAAAACCTAGTTTTTTTAATTAAATTTACAAAACAATTAGTCAAAATAAATAAAGTATAATTAAATAAAATAATTTTTGTGAGAAAAATAAATAAACTATGTCAAAATATAAATCTACTATTTTATAATTTTTTTTATGATTTTTTTTAATATTAGATAAAATATTTAAGAAAATAAAAAAATAAATATAAGAAAAAAAGAAATTAAATGGACCAGGGTATGTAAATGAAACAGGGGGTCAGAAAATAAAAAAAAAACATAAGCCCAAGGAGATGAGGCCCAGGCGCCTGCCAAAAAGAAAGTCAGAAATGCAAAAAATGTGAAAAATCCAAAAGGGTACCACTGGGGCTCGAAACCAGGTCCCTCAAGTCACAGGCGCGCGCTTCTACCATTGGGGTGGCTATACATCTGCTTATATAATCAAAATAACAAATACATGATAGTAAATAAGTCCATAGCCTGAACTTCATCTTCAACCTCACGCCCAGCCAGAGCCTCTGTAACTCATTCAAATCTCAACAAAAATGAAAACTCTAAACAGGAATCTTGTAGCAAATTTCCTCACGATTTCAGAAATGCAAAGCAATAGAATTACAGATCAAATATAAGCATGAATTTTAATGGCCCTAATCTAAACCCTAAAAATCTCATAAACTTCAATCTTAAAATTCTCTAAGCTCAAGCAAAATTAATGAAAACTATGGACATGGTTAGCTTTAGGGCAATGATATCTACATTTTTCATTCACAAATAAATCATTGATGATGCCTGTATGGAAAGTTCCAAAGTCAGAAAACTTACCTTGCAAGAGGTTATTGGGTTTGGAGTTTGATAAGCTTTCAGTGAGTTCCAATGATTGGGTTAGCTTCCTCAAGTTCCCAGAAAGCTAATGGGATGCTTAGCTTGAGCTAGAAATGCCTACGGAGTCCTGGAGAAGTCCAAGTGCAAAGCTCTATTTTTGAAAATGGAGGATGGTGTTAATGGTGTTACAGTCTTGTAACAGGGCGTGGGATGAGTTCTAAATGATGTTTAGAAACTTTAGGAACCAAAAGGCTTGAAAACGCACGAGGGAGATGTGAGTTTCCAACTTTTGGTCAGGTTAGGAAACAATGGAGGTATGTGATACAGTTATGAGATGTTGGTGTTTTTTAGGGGTCAAGCATGCGTGTGTTTTGTGGAAAAATGGCTTGTTTATTTATAAGTAAAGAGTCTTGAGTGGTTTGGCAAGTCAGAACTACAAGTTTCAATCTTTTTGCTATGTTACTTGATTTTCAAGAAAAGTGAGAAAACAAGTTTCAAGGGGAAGTACAAGCATGGGCTGGGTGATTGTAAGTGTCTAAACCATTTCTCTTGTGTTATGAGACATGTATGATCAGAAGAGAACAAGTGCAAGGCTCAAGAACAAGTTTTGTGCAAAAAGTCACTTTATCAAAATGGCAATGTGCACTTTCTTCTCAAAATGGATATAAAGCATGGTCTTGCATTGAATGCTTGAAATGAGACCTCTAACAGCTGTGCAAGAAATTAATTATGGAGTGCCTAACAATTTTGAGGCCTACAAAGTAGAGGTTATGCAGCATAACTTTAAATTTTGAATTTGTTCATCACAAAATGACTTGTAATTCAAGTGATAAAACCCTAACTTCATCTCTTCGATTCTCCCTACTAAAAAATGATCTCAAGGAGTTCTTGGAAATTTTGTAAATCTTGAAATATGCTCTACAACCCATCTTTGAATTACTTTTGAATATTCCCCTTTGAAATATATGAAAAAGTTCCATGAAGTTTGGTCGAAATCCTGACCAAATTAGGGCAAAATTTCACTAAGTGTTTTGTTTCATGACCATGTATTCTTAAAATTATAACTTGAGATCCAAACACTTTTGGCTGGAGTTATGTAAAGAAATGTTTTATATTTCATGGATATCTACAACTTTCATGTTGGAAGTTTCTTCTGAATCAGCTTGCATCATGGTGAAAAGTTTGCTCAAAGTTATGAAAAAATAAGAAATTTCCAACACTTAGAAAAAACTCTAAGTTTGGAAATTTTAACTTTTCAAAATGAAATCTTAAATTTTTGATTTCTTGATGAATAAGTTTCATATTTTGACATGTTTTGATGAATTGTGATCTTTGGCATTTGAATTTGACCAAAAAGTCAAAGTTTGACTTTTCAGTATACAATTGACTTTTGATTAGTTGATTGAAAATTCATTTGTCAATCCATTGGACTTGAGCAATGTTTTGAGCCATGTCATTAGGTAAAAATGATGCAATTTGACTCTTGAGATAATTCCTTAAACCAATTTATCATTTTCTAGGTCAATAATCAGAAATTGCCCTTTCCCAGTCAAAACCCTAATTTTGACCATTTTGTCCTTTTGAAGATTTGATCAAATTTATTGAGGAATTATGGTCCAAACTTGATCAAATGATACATATGAGTTTAAAATGTTGATGTGGATCAAAAATTATGAAGTTTGACTATAAATTGGCCATTATTGACTTTTTCCCCAATACAATTGATTTTTAGGTCAACTGCTCAATTGACTGAGCAAAAGTGTGATCCAAAGCTTGAAACTTGACATGAGTAATATTGAGGGTCCATAATGATCCATAAAATTCATATGGGGCATTGGAAGTTCAAATATCCTTGTGCAAACTCAAACCCTAATTTTGGTCATCAGTGCTTAAGGAGGTGTCTTGAGCTGATCAACCCTAGTGCAGTCTTGAACCAAAGGAGATCTTGTGAGAAAAATTCTTGATAAGTGAGAGGGAAAATTTTGGGGTACAACACCATCCAACCGTCAATCAGAGCGACACTAATGGAATTCACATCTCATACTTCTATACTAGGGATGACAAGTGTTTCCTTCATTATAGTGCATTTGAATCTTGATTCTTCAAACTAGACAGTTCAAAAAGTATGTCTACCTTGAAGTTCAATTCCCTAGGCACATGCTCTATTTAAAACTTCTATAAGTATCTTATGATCTAAGGCTCCCTCGCCCATTACTCATTGGAAACTTGTCTCACCGCCAACTGAGAGTCGCTCTTAGCTTGTAGGGTCGATGTGCCTACTATTAAATTGAGGAATGTGTGGTTGATTCAATCTGATTGTTACTAGCCTTAAATTCAAACTTTAATGACTCTTTGATCAATATGTCATTTGTTCCTTATATCATAATATCAATGCCATTCTCTTTAACATTAGAGGCTCCATCCACTGATAGCATCTAATGGAGGGGGGAACCTCCCCGCTGATGGGTGTGCTGAATTCATCCAGAACATTTTCCAAGAACTATGATTTGATGTTTCCTCTAGGGATGTACTGGATGTCATATTGAGATAGTTCAATTGTCTAAGATACCATTCTCTCGACTAGGTTTGGCTTATTAATGACCCAGTGTATGAGACAATTTACTTTTACCAATATCTGATGTCCTTGAAAATAAGGCCTAAGTTTTCTTGCGGTCACCACTATTGCCAACACGAGCATTTTTATTTTCTGATTGTGGACCTCAACGCCCCTAAAAAATTTGCTTACAAAATATACATGTTGATCTACCTTATATTCTGGTTCAAACTTTTCCCCCTTTGACACTGATCACATAGCCCATTAGGTTATATCTATAATTGATGATTTTGATTTGGAGAAGCTCTTTAGAGGTTCTCTGGATGAGGGAGATTCCTTTAGGGATTCTTCTTTAGACGTTTTCTTCTCTGATGACAAAGTTGAAGGTGATAACACGGTTCCTTCCATGCCCCCTTCTTCTCATACTAGTGACTTCAGTTTCACGTGCTTTAATAACTTCAAATATGGAGGATAAGGCCTATTGGATAGGAATGTTTCCAAAGGCTCTAAGGCCTATTGGAAAGCCCATGTTTGATACCCAAGTGTGTTTGACCTCAAGGATCAATCTTGAGCATGAGGCTCGAGTATATGGAATCAGTTGGCTTAAACCTTTTGAGACCTTCAAGGTCGGCGAGTTGTCCTTGAGAAAGGATATGTTGGTGGAGTCACTCGATACAATTAAATATGGCTGGGTAGACTCGATGATAGTGGGTACTCCTTCAATTTTTAGTAATTAAGCGGCCATAGATGCGACCAATATTATGGTCAGCCTCCCTCTTAATAGTCGGTCCTCTTGGTGGCTCCTAAGAAAGGATATTTAGAACCTTTGAATGGTGTTATGTCCCTTTTTACGAGTGTTTATTCCCTAAGATGAACTAGGGTTTTCCTTTATCTGAATTTGAGGTGACAACATTGAAATAACTGAAGGTTTCCCCTTATAGATCTAGTTGGGCTCCTAGGATTATGTAAAGGTGGCCTAGTTTTGGGACGAGTATAAGTTTTAGAAACCTCAGTCCGACTATTTTTCAAATTTTCACAGTGATACATACTTCTCGGTATAATATCTGAAACCAGGTGTTTATTGAACTATGTATGCATGTTCCCCTATTCAACTCTTTTTATGAAGGATGAGGTGCTTTGGGTTTGGGAGGCTCCGCACTCGAGATGGTAACTTTGACTTCTTCTCTAGTCCTCATGAATCATATTGTTCTTGTAAGGGTAGATTTCTGAAATTTTGGCTTGAGCCTCACTTTGATCCCGGGCTTCATTCATACGGTGCCAAACTAGATTATCTTACTAATGAGGTAATTATGATGAATAGGGACCTAGAATCCCTCTACTAAGGATTTTATTACAAATAGGGGTTTGTCCCTTCAAAAGTGTCATCTTCCTTTCAAAGGAAAATTTTATTAATACATGTGTTATTTTGAGTGTGGCATGTCGTTTGGAGAGGAAATAAATATATGATGAGGATGGGGTGCTTGCTTGATTTTAATAACTTGTGTATTTTTACTTGCAGATAAAATGAACTCTTTGCATACTAATGTCAATGCTCAGGGTGTCTATAGGATCAAGCACTTACCATTAGGCCAAAAGCAATTGCTATTAGTCAGGGCGTGACTATATTTCCTTTAGTGAACCCCATGGGTGGATCGTTAAACCCACTGAATCCCTCAGGGTGACTCTAATTAAATAATCCAACCCCCCTCAGTGTCGGTCTGGGGAATTCAAACCCATGACCTTGCTCTGATTCCACTTGTAGGATGAAGCGGTTACCAATAGACCAAAAGAAATTTCCATTAGTCAGGATGCAATTATATTTCCTTATAAAGAACCCCAAGGGCCCTACCTGGCCCACCTAACATACCCATGTGGGCGTCCATAGGTAGAGTGTTAATCCCATTGAATCCCTCAAGGTGACACTGGATTAAATAATCCAACAACCTAGTATCAATAAGCACTTGGTCTCAGATACTTCTACATTAAATCCCTCAAGGTGATGCTGGATTATACTTCAGAAGGTAGTGAATGTAACACTCCAAATTCTAGATTAATTATTTAACTAATTAATTTAGCGTGATTATATGAGTCAATATGAAGTGGTTAACGTCTTGATGATTATATGTGATCCTTTATGGAGATTTGTGATATTATGATGAATATGAAGTGTACCATGATGATTGAGATAAATATGATGTTTGGATGACTATGATGTATGATGGGTTGCTATGTGTAGCATAGTGAGAATTAGACTAATTAAGAGGATTATTAGTATTTTGGAATAATTAGAATAATTGTTTAGAATTATTTTAATTGGGAAAATAGAATAATAGAGGTGTAGAGAAAATAAGGGCAAATGGTAATTAATGGATAATAAGTAAGGACAAGGTGGGAAGTTTGATATTAGAGGTCTAAAGGTTATACAAGGAATTATTGGTAAATAAAGTCATCATGGAACAAACATAGAATTGGGAGAAAGAAACTGACGTTGTAGAGAAAGGAGGTTAGGGCACAAAGAGGCAAGAGATTTCGGTAGAAAACCAGAGAAAAGTTGAATTTTTGCGATAATCTTAAGGTAAGGGAAGCTTTATCATTATTATTATATTTGATTTAAGGTTTAGGTGATGGTAGAATTGCCTTAGGTTTTGGTAGATGAGGAGTTGGTGTTGTTTGATGAGGAATTGATGAATTGATGATGAATAATGACTTATAATTGATGTATAATGAGTATAGAATTAGGATGTTGATAGATGATGAAACCATGTGATTAGATGATGTTTTAGGACCTATAATATGATGGAATCGCAGGAGAATTCGACTGGTTTGTGCAGGAAATTACAGTAGGAAAATCATGTTCCTGCGTCGTCTCTAGGCAACATAGGTAGTGTCATCGGGTGATGACGCGTCGCCAGGAGAATAGGTAGAGACGAAGGGCAAAAAAGAGTGACGCTTTTGGAATGTGTCGCTCTAAGCGTCGCTGGGTGATGGTGGTGGCGAAGGGAGTGTCACTAGGTTATATAGGTGTGTCGCCAGACGATGATGTCTAGTTTTGATTGGCTGTATTGGATTTTCTTAAAAGATTCATAACTTGAGTTCTATAACTTGGAATGAGGTGTCGTTTGAAGTGTTGGATAAATAACACGATGAAATTTATTTATGTGTAGTAAATGAAGAATAGGAAGTATATTCCAAATACCTAATCTAGAATGAAGTTAGGTTCCCCATGTTGGATTATGAAGATGCTTGTTTATTAAGATGATTAGAAGATGAATAGAGGATAATTAAGAGACATTAGGATGATACCTTATATAATATGATGACATGAAGATATGTTGTGTGATATGATGATGTTTGGATATTATGATGACATAATAATGATATTATGAAGATGTTTCATTTTGATGATGATTTCATGATGTTATGATGATATGATGTTTTATTAAGATGATTATATGATTATATGATGATGATATGATGATGTAATCATGAATGATGATGCACGTTGACTTGTTGTGGTAGTGTTTATTATGTTTTTATGCATCATGCATTCATGGCATATTTTAGGGCTCCGGTCCAGTGATGTTGGGACTTCGGTCCAATGAAGATGATAGGACGATTGTCCAATAAAGGTAAAAATCCCATAGTTTGGATTGGGTGCAACAATAAAGTGCTTTGGTTCCAAGCGGGAATCTATCCTATGATAGGGATCTATGGAGATAATGATGACTGAGTCATCAGTGAAGTTTCGGTACCACATGCATGAGTCTATGATGATGCATTATATTTTATGTGACATTGCATAATGATGTGATTAAATGATAATTATTGATAAATGGTATGTTGATAACTCGTTGTTGTGAATTGATGGTGTTGCAAAGGTGTGAGTATAACATGAAGATATGGTGATGTGTGATGCATTTCTTATGTGCATATCTACTATGTCTATTCCTTATGTTTTATATAATGATTATGATTTACTCACCCTTTCTGTTTAAATATTACCTCCACGTGGGTAACACGCTGGTGATCGAGAATAGTCCGTAGAAGCATTAGAGGATAGCTTCAGAGTGTTTAATTTCTTTTGTTGAATAAATGGAGTCTTGATCTGATATGTAAAACCAGGGTTGGGATAGAACAATTGGAACTTATGTTCTTTGTTTTGTTTTAAGATGTTGAGTCACCTTATGTGGTACTCGAGATGTTCTGAGTTATAAGTATAAGTTATGAAGTATTACTAATTTTATGAAGTATTATAATGAGGTGTTTTGATATTATGATTTCTGCTGCAATGATTTGAAGGACTAAATATTGGACATATCCTGTTATATGTTTTAAATGGTTTTTACAACCCGTGTTATAAAGCATGATGTATCATTATGATGTTTTATATGAAGGTGTGACACCCTTGTTGGTGATATACTCTGATTTATTTATTAAAATAATTGTGAATATTCCTTCGGGTTTAAAAGGGTGTTACGTTAGTGGTATCAGAGTAGGTCGGTCCGTCCGGCCAGGTTATCGAGTCTGTAGTGTGTGACAGTGGAATACTGTTGGGATAATTTCTAACCAGTGTGACTATTATTGATGTGAAATAGAGAAATGGCTGGAAGGAATGATGTTGCACTTGATGCTGTTTTGCAGGCCGTTTCTTAAGTTGTGCAACATCATCCTAATGATGGATCCCGTGTTTTGGAGACGTTTCAGAGGAATCATCCACCTGTTTTTAAGGGTAGGTTCGATCTTGATAGAGCACAAGTTTGGCTTAAGGAGATTGAGAGAATATTTTGATTCATGGATTTCTCAAAGGCACAGAAGTTATGGTTTGGTACTCATCAACTGGAAGAGGAAGTTGATGACTGGTGGGTTGGTACTCGTCCGAGACTGACAATGCTTAGTGAAGTGATTACTTGGGCTCTGTTCAACAGGGAATTTCCGAGGAAGTATTCTCCTAACTATGTGTGCGGGAAGAAAGAGATTGAGTTTCTGGAGTTGAAACAAGGAAGTTTGACTGTGACGGAGTATGCTTTGAAGTTTATGGAACTAGCAAAGTTTTATCCATATTACGGTGAAGCAACTGCTGAGTTCTCAAAGTGTATCAAGTTTTAGAATGGTGTGCATCAAGAGATCATGTTGGAGATTGGGTAGTAGAAGATCTGTGTGTTTTTCAGAGTTGGTGGAGAGCTACAGAATCTATCAGGAGGATAGCAAAGCTCATTCAGCTCACTATAAGAGTTTGAATGAGAAAAGAGGAAGGAAATATCAAGATCGTAAGAAGCCTTATGATGCCCCAATTAATAAAGAGAAACATAAGGCTTATGATTGGAAGAATACAAGTATGGGAGGATATCACGCTTCTATCAAGTGCTATAGGTGTGGTGAACAAGGTCACCATTCTAATGAATATGAGAATAAGGTGCTGAGGTGCTACAAGTGTGGTAAGTCCGGTCATCGCGCTCCTGAATGCAAGAACGATGGCCCAACTTGTTTTAATTGTGGAGAGTAGGGTCATATCAGTACTCAATGTCAGAAACCAAGGAAGGATGCTACTGCTCAGACCAATGGTAGAGTGTTCACGCTGAGTGGATCAACAGAACCTAAAAAGGACAACTTGATTCAAGGTACTTGCTTTATTAACGATGTTGAATTGGTTTCTATTATTGATACTGATGCTACTCATTCATTTATTTCGCTTGAATGTGCTACTAAGTTAGAATTAAAATTGTTTGATATGAATGGT